TAATATCGGTGCTAATATACCAACGCTTTTCTGAAGAAGACACGGTTGTATATTGTCGATACCAATAATGGACGATACGCTGTCCAATGACCCGCAATACATAATATCTGCATATGTCCTGATGAAGATAAGGTTGAGAATACCAATACTTTGAACAGCAATTTGGACGCTTCCCTACCATGAAATCAAATCTGTTGTTGGAGATTTAATAGTGTATAAAGAAGATAATATGTGTATGAAGTATATAGTAGTCAAATACTTCAGATTTCATACAAACACCTTGGATAAAGGAACAAAACAGTTGCAGTTAAACACTTTAAATTAATGTGGTTACTCTCAACATAATTATACATTTCTATATCGTGCATATATGTTGCTTTACTATATCTTTGTATGTTTCTTTGTTCAACTCAACTATATCTGTTTTATTATTATTGTATTTCTTTTAACAATGAATTATTACTGTATTATCGTTTCTCCTCTTCACTTCATAACTTCATTACTTACCGTCTTAATGCATTATTAAAATGTTAAGAACTGTGAAATTCTCTACTTTGTACACAATTTAATTCAATATTCATAATCATTGGAGCTTGCAAAACTTTTATCTTTTGTTTATTTCAAAACTTATAAATTTTATTTTTTCATTTAACTTTTCCACACCGAACAACAAAATTATCATCAAATATTTATTGCAAAGTTGTTATCAGCTTAACTACTGAACTCCTATTCCACTAGCCTTGAGAATTGTTGCGATTTCAGGCATACCATAAACACACTTTTCTTGACAGAATATCATATCTCACTATAGTGAGTTCTCTTATTTTATTTTGCATTTTTAATAGGATTTGCACACCTTTTTTCCCAAGCGAACATAAATAAAAAATGTCTGCAGGCGAAACACACCTTGAACGAAAGTTTAATGTTTGGTATTACAGGCCTCAGTGCCGTTCACACAGGCCTCTTAACGCCTTTTTAATGTTGCACATTAGACATGGTCTAATACATTCTCTGCTCAGGCGTTCGAAATTTTCTTGTCTATTATCCTGAACTGCTGAACTACTGAAGAGTTTATTCGCTTCCAAAAAACTTGTTTAATGGTTCGTTCATAAGTAAAAGTTTTATTTTTGTTTTCCATACACCGTGGAATACTTGCAGAAAATCCTTTCCAGTGCTTTTAATGTAAATGCTTTTAGTTTTCGAACAGAATATAAACTTTTTAATTTAAGATTTAAATGAAATATTCAAATCGTTTCGTACAATAATAATAGTTTCTTGGACTTTATTTATGCATTGAAAGCGATTTAGCAATAATATTTGGAGCTGCTCTTTTCCCGCTATCTGAAGGAGTTCAAGAATAATAAATTTCCCAGAAATGAAGTATGGGTTTTTGTTTTTATTTAATAAATTACTTCTTGAGTTATTGCTCTGAATTCACTTATTCTGATACGTCTTATTATTCCTTATTATTTTGGAAACGTTTTAATACTCCGTTTTGTGTTAATACACTGGTATTTCATACTCTATCAGTAATTTGATGGAATATTTTTTAATAAATTAATATAATATAATTATTCCTTTAATATCCATATATCAGTATGTTGCCAAACAATTATACTTTAATAAATTTTCACTACACAGACTACGGAATATATTTTGAGACAAGGTTTCAATTGGTAGTGAATTGTAACAACAAAAAGTTTTCTTTGAAAATACTAAAATACTATCTTATCATTAGAAATCGCTTCATAGTTCTCGATTAATACACTTTTGTATGCGTTTGAACCATTTGTCAAAGCATTTATTTCAATCTTCTTCAGACACCTCCAAAACATGGTTTTCCAATGAAACAATGGCTTTTTCCGCCGACAAAAATCGTTATTTATGCAATTTACGAGTAGTCTTGATGTTTGGGAGTAATAAGAAGTCATTGGGTGCCAAATCAGGACTGTATGTAAATCGAGTAGATGAACCATCATATCGCATTTTTGATATGAACCATCATATCAAATAGTCGGTTGTTAGACGAGATGTGTGAACACTCTCGTTATTTTGATGAAGATGGGAAATGATCCGACTCGCTTATTTGTTTTCCGTATTTAACTGAAGATTTCTGGTAAACAAATAGTTATATACTATTCGAAATTAACCGTTTTACGTTCCTGTAGTGGTGTATTTGTCACATGAACAATTTTCCCAAAAAAAACAAGCGACCATTTGTGTCGAAGTGCTTCGAGCGCGAACAACTTTTGACAGTCGACTGCTGTTTACGTTCCCGCTCATACGCTTATATTTATGATTCGTCACCTGTTACAATCTTATATTCGTATACGTCATTTGAAGCAACGCCATTCGCTATTATACTTCTTGAGCATTTGTGTACATAAATTAACACGAGCATCTTTATGAGATTTTGTCAAATGATGGGGGTTCTAACAAGAGCACATCTTTCTCACAGCTAATATTTTATGTATGCTGGTGGAGTTAATGCATCAAGGGTTCCCTCAATCTCACAGTATGTCGCATGACGAAGTTGCATTATCAGTTTTCACACAACATCAATGTCAGATGACACCTGACAACAATTATTGTTGCCATGGCTCCAAATATAAATAGTGACTCTTGTATAAAATAATAGAGTATGAATGCACCCCGATCTAAAAGATCTATTGTGTGTCTGAAAGCCCAACTAAAAGAATTCTAGACTATTGATAAATCTCGTAATTGTTGTGAGCTTAATTTCAACCATTTGATTTGGTACCAAGATCCCACTTCCAAGGTAGTTAAGCCTAGGTCTTGTCACCGCTGGGCAGTTGTATAGAACATATTATGGTATTCCCTTTTCCTCATGACAGAGTCGACAATAATCACTTTCTACCACACCTATATACTTCATTTGGTAATTGAAACTACAGTGTCCTATAAGAAGTTTAATGTAGATCTGAATAATGCTACTATTAAGGTTAAGGATGTCGTCAATTTTATTGTGTACAATATGAATGAATGTTCTGGACTGTCGCATGCCTGATTGGGCTCTCCAGTGTTCAAGTAGACTTAATTTCTCACATTCTGATATTAAGTTACTTGTGAAGCTTTTCGTTACACCGCAGAAGGGCTAATGCCCTTCGTGTACCCACATAAGAGTAACAAGTTACCAAGAACCTCACCCAAAAACTGGTGGATATACCGGGTCTGTCACCGTCCCATGTTAGGAACCTAGAACCACATCAACTCCATTAAGATAAGCACAACAAAAAAAACTAAAAAAC